CAATGGGAGGACAGACAGTTAATCTGTTTTCAGTGTGGAAATCTTTAGCCTCCTTGATTAGGCTTATTCTTTATGTCACCTCTGATTTGATCTTTATTCTCCCCTTTACCTTTCTCCACTCTTAGTAATCTAAATTTTGTGAACCAAGGTGAAGGGCTTGTGATTATTCCATTTCGTCTTTTCCCTTGTTTTCTCTGTGTTCCACAGATGAGCAAGATCATCAGATGTTTAGGTATTGTTCTTCATTCTCTTTACTTCATTTAACATTATACACTCAAGTTCCCACCATAATGAAGCAAACTGCATGATCCAACTTTTCTTAAAACTGTGTAATTGTTTTCTGTTTATTACACTAATGACTTCTTCAGGATCATGAACGATGGGTTCAAGGCTCTTCGTGTTCCTAGAATGAACAGATGCCATTGGGCTACACTAGCACGTGACAGGGACAAAGGGAGACATTACTGGTGCCCGCTCGAGCAAATCGATGATTAATGGGAAGTCAAGTGCTCAAGTGATTATTACACTAAGTGCTACAATGAACATAGGTGTACAATATTTTTTTAATTGATGATTTTGTGTTGGGGTAATTGGAGGGTAATTGTTGGGTTATACAGAACTTAATTTTTACTTTTTTGAGTTCATACTATTTTACATGAACACTGAATCAGATGATCCAACAAAAGTGAGTTCCTTGCTCAGCTCATAAGCCTTCAATTGAGTTCATTGTTAGTGTGATGCATCACACTTACTGATGTTTTGTGTGCTGAAATATCTTTGTATACAAAAATAAATTCTATTTGGTGAGAGTGTGTAACATTTTTAATATAAACTTGAATTCAGTTTTCTAGAATTTCATTGTTTTTTTTCTTGGAGCCACACCCAGTGGTACTGAGGGTTACTCCTGGCTTTGGAGTAAATTATTCCTGAAAGCACTCAGAGAACCATGTGCAATACCAAGGATTGAAACAGGGGATGTGTATGACAAGCACCTTACGCACTGTACTATCTTTCTATCCCCTTAGAATTTCACTAATTTTTGGTATCAATATCCATCAAGGGACTTTTGAGGTAGTTTTCTTGTAGTCTTTTGCATTGGTATAGAGATAATATTGGCCTCACAGAAACAGTTTGAATGCATTCCCCTTTTTTTGGGGAAAAATATGATGATTTCTAATAAATCTTAAATCTGCAATAATTTCTATAATATGGCATCAAAAATGCAGAATAAATAAAACAGATAATTGGATATCAATTTTTATATAAATATGTAAATAAAATGAAAATAAAACAGACTAACAAGGAAACTCAAAGGGTAAAATATCTGAAATCATTTTCTGATGGTTAATATCTAGAATGTATACAAAACTACTACAATAAACACTAACAGGAGCACAGATGACTCAAATGATTGATGTGTAGGTGTTCATAAATTCTTGGTTTGCTGATCTTTATATCAGTACCATGACTCATTATATATAGTAATACTATTGACAATATCTATTTTGTCTGGGATTAGGCTTATCATCTCTGATTTCTTTGCTTATTTTCATATTTTTCCTCTTTTCACTTTCAACCAATGTATTTCCTTAGATCTAATGTGAATCACTTACAAACAGCATAGAGTTGGACATTTAGAGAGATAACACAAAACTGATGCTTTTCAGTGTTTATGAACTGATTTTGAGAATCAACTTGATTTGACAGTGTGTGACCTCTTGAAATCTTCCAAAGTATTGATAAATCAGTCATTTGGTGCTTTGCTTTTTACTTCAAGCTCCAAGTAAACGTGATTGCAGGGCGGGGAGGGCACCCAGTTATACTCAAGGGATGCCAAGGATTGAACCTATGTTGGTTGCATGCAAGATAAGCTATCTACTATGACTCCAACCCCCCAAATATGATTTTTAAACCTCTTCTATACCCTAAGGATCTTCTATTCATTTCAGGATTTAAGATATTTTATTATTCTGCCGATAATCCTTTGCAAACTGCCTACATGGAAACTCATATTTCATGCTGTCTCTTTAGTCCTTCAATATCCATATTATGCACTATTTTCACCAATGATACACATTAAGACAGAAAAGTTAGCTCAATAAATTCCAAATAGGGCTAGAAAGAGTTTAGAGGTTAAGGTGTTTTATTTCTAGACTTCCAAGGATAATTTTAATAACATGTTATTGTTTATTTTGTGTTTCTATGAGAGACTGGAGCATTCCTCTTTCTTGATTATGGCACTTGAGATTCTCAGCAACTATTTATTTTAAGTTTTCCATAATCATTTTCTCCTTAAAAAATACCAAAACCTTCAATTGAAAAGTAGTGACACTCTAACTTGGTTAATATATTCAATAAAGAAATCAAGTAAACTGATTCATCTCTAGTAAATTTAGAGAGTATGGCTTCTCAAGTAATATTTTTGAATGCTCGTTTTGCATGATTCTGCTACACAGTATTTTATAGATCTTTGAATCTGATGTCTGGCATGCTCTAATGATCAAAAATTGATAATTTTCAATGAAAAATCACATATAACCTATAAATAAAACTATGATTCAGTTATATTATTTGATTTTTTAAAGTAAGACTGACTTTATGTTCGTCAGCCTTCAATGGAGAAAAACCATAGACCATTTTCAGATAATGGACATTTCCTGAATTCTTTGGGTATTTTACTATTATTGGTTTTGCTTGTTTTAGGTCCAAACCTGGCAGTGTTCAGGGTTTACTCTTAGCTTCCACTGAGGGATCACTTCTGCTCATGCTCAGGACACCATATAGGGTGTCAAGGATCAAACATGGGCCAGTCAAGTGAAAAGCAGACCTCTTATCCACTGTACTATCTCTGGCTCCCCTGGATCCTTTGGACATTAAAAACACTCCAAAGTTTTTGTCTTCTGAACCACCTATTAAAAATGGTTAAAAAGGTTTGATATTATTTTCCCACCAGGATTATCCATTCTTTTTCATTCTCAAGTGCTACATTTGGAACTAAATATTCCATGTAACTCCATTTGCTTATGATTGACTGTCTACTTAAATATATACATTCAGTTTTAACTCACGTTCATATTTGACTTTGCAGATTTTTAGTTTTTTGATATGGTCACCTACATGACTAGATTATATTCTTTAATAACTCTCTTCTCATACTTCACATAAGCTACCCAGAAAACTTCTAGTGACAACAAAACTATCTCCACATTTATTGCACATCATCCTCCATTTATAAGCCCATATTCCTGACATCTGAACTTGTTTTCGGAAGTCTAACGTGTAACTTTGAATTTCCACCTCTGCCATTCCTCCTTACTAGTTTTATTATCCATTTATACCTCTTACTACTTCATAATTCATTGCAGTTTTCTAATTGACAAATTCTAATTTGTCCCATTAATCCTTCTCCAAAAATGCCTATGATGTGTTTTTGATTTATTTAGCCATCTATAATAATTTCTTTATCCTAGGTGTTTGGAGGAATGTTCATTATTTGGGGAGCACATTTTCTTTATTCTTAAAAATAACACATTCCTAATTTTTGTTTATTGATAAGGAACAACAATTTTGTTCTATAGTGCTCTCATTCCAGTGTCCTTGATAACATAACAATGCTAAATACTTATGATGCTTATTCAATAAGTGCTGTTCATGAAAATATTTTAAAAATAAAGGATGATTCTCAGAAAACACAAATATTACTTATGATCTTGTTTCAAAACATATAAAATCAGAGCTCAAAGTCAAAGATATCTTTAGTATGTTGCTGTACTGTCTGCAGATTAGTTTTGGGTACTTTCCAAGTAGTTTTTAACTTCAGAAGTTTCTTCTGAACAATACTTCCTTCTTAGCCCAGTAAGTCATAGCATAGTGGTCAGAGCTATAGTACATGGCTAAAGGTTTAAAGAAAGTACAGGGGTTGAGATAGTTCAGGGGTCACACTTTGCACACAATTAACCTCACTTTGATTCTGGCATGACATATAGTTCCCTGAGTACTGCCAGCAGTTATCTATGAGCACAGAGAAAGTAGTAAACCCTAAAGGCTGCCAAGTGTGGTTCTAAAATAAAGCACAAAACTAAAAAATGAAAAAATGTATGAATCTTGAGTCATGCCACGTTTTAACAATAATGTCATTGGTAAATTAAATTCATCGAGTGTTGTGAGACCTCTCTCAAAGAAGGTATTCCTTAAGTATTTGCAAATGAGTTTCAAGGAAAGTTGCCCTCAATGCATATTCTGTTTTAAGTGGGTAGTCTCTGTGAAATCAGTCACAGCTTTTATGGCAGATCCGTGAGCTTTCTCACCAAAGGTGTTTTTTATGGCAGTGTGGTGGTGAGCAAAATCACACCTGTAGAAGATTTTTGAACTAGGTTTCCCTCATTTCAATAATCCTTCTTCATTTTCTTTGGAACCTTGCACCTAAGCTGAAACAAGGATAGTTGTTCCCACTTCTCATAGCCATAACACATCACTTACCAATATTTTTTTCAGGTTTCTAGAGACACATTGTATTTGTTAACTGGTAGTGATCATTCAAATGGAAGAAAAGAGTTGTGCATGTTTAAATGCATATTTTTGGAATCCTTTGCTCATTCCTTAGTAATAATTACTAGCTAAACATTTGCATACTTAGTAACCTCCTTTAAAACTTAGGGAAAATAATTTAAATGAGTATTTTGGAATTAATAGATCTATCCATAACTATTTTTTTATTATTCAGTTTCCCTCTGAGAATATATTCTTTCATAAATTAGCCCAAGGCTTCCCATGCCCCAGAAAAGTCTTAATATGGGATTTTCTCATCTTAAATTCAGATAAAGCAAACAAAAAATATAAAATAAAATGCAAATCTTGATCTTTAGAAATAACCCATAGATTTCTTTAAATAGCACCTATTTTACTTCCTATTTCTAAAACCAAATGTGTTTTTATTTCAATTTCAAGAAGATGCTTTAACCTTTTCTTGAGTAAGCATTAAAGAACCCATTCTTCAGATGTCAAGATTAAATGTGTTTATTTTGAGTTAGTAGATACAATGTCATTTTAGATACCAGCACTCCAAGCTACACCTATGTATTTGCCTCTAAACCTTCACACATTGTTCAATTTCCATTCCTCTAATATTTCATCACTGGACCTTCTATTTCTAGCAAAATCATAGTTCAAATGTTTAAAATAGCAAAAGAAAGATGGATCACTATATAGTCCTCCTAGTGACCTCAGGAGAATTATAAATCTCAAATGATTATTGTTTTCAGAAAGGGGAAAAATTGAGAACATGATCACGTCATGGCACTACTAGAAGAGAAAGAAGAGATTACAGATTTTTTAAAAAAGCATTTTATGCTGAACAAAGTTAGTTTTGCCTAAGTAGAAATTTACATGATCTCATGGATATGACTTCAAAGTTAAATTATTCAATTTCTGGCCACACACTTAAGCGTATTGGCTAGCACATTTTTGCACTGAAACAGAAGTAATACAAGCTTTATGTTCTATCATTACACTTCCAGATTTTTCACTTAATATACCTGCCAACCTAATGATTCTTGCATGCATTAGAGTTTGCTTTTGCAGAGTGAAGTTTATTTTCCCCATCCCTCCCACTCCCATAAACATTGTGATGCGAACTCTTTGTCCAATTATGAGAATATTGCAAAGGACAGCTCTGTGCCACCTCAGGACAGGAATTTCCTGTCCCCTCCCCAGGCTACAGATGAATCTGTAGTGTTGATCACATCTCATCTTACATGCAAACAGACACTGTTCCTTTAATTTCCCCGTGCCAGAGGCATATAAGTAGGCAGGTATGCATACAAAAATGTAATTTGAAAGAAAAGCAAAAAAGAAAAAGCTTTCTTGTTAATGACTATCCTCCTAAAAGGAATCCATTGCTTTGAATTCACTTAAAGCCTGCACAGGCGAAATGTGTTTCTTCTGAGAACCTCGTCTAACTCGCGTTTGGAATTCTTCAGGCTTCTCTCTCTTCACAAGGGGCTTCTTCTCCGGAGCCTTCATCTTCCAAGACACAACTGGTGAGTTGACAGCTGCTGTCCCATAGACTTTCTGGTATTTGGTTGAAGCCACATAGGATGCTTTCACTGTAAGGACAACTGCATTCATCAGGTTTTTAGCCGCCTGGATAAGTGATGTGGCACTGTCCAGCTAAAGCAGGGGGAAGAATAAGATTCATCTGGTCAGTAAAGGCACATCATTCGCAAGAGGGGGCACAGTTTAAAACAATCCTGTGACTATTCAAACACACAATATTTCCAGGAAAAGGAGAAAGATTATTACACAAAAATGCAAAGAGACCATAAAGTAGCCCCCTGTCAATTTTGTATCTTTAAATGCCAAAGTTAAAAAAGAAAGATACTGTACAGTGACTCAATGTCTAAGATCCCAACACTTCTAAAGACAAAGCCTAGCCCCGAACTTTTTTGCAAGAATTCCAATGCTACAAAAGTTTTCTGAAGAATGTTATATTATTATGTTTATGTTGATAAGTAAGATTTGAAACTCATTTAGCAAGCACTGAATAATAAAAGAATTTATATTTGAACTTTAGGATTCTACCAGTTGAAGTTTCAATTTAGACTATTTCTCCATCCTGAGCTCCAGATTGGTAGGGCTGCAGGCAGTTCAGGGTTTTTGCTTAGTTGTGTTTTGTCCTTGACTATCAGTGCACTTTTTCCATATCTTGAATATACCTCCTAGGAAAATATCGATAATAGTGCCATGATCTTGTAGGTCAGAGAGTATTTAGTAAAACCTGCAAATCCTCGTGTTACAGAGCTTTTATTTTTGTTTTCTACTATGAGTCAAAAACAACTCTTTTTTTGCATTTAACTTTGTGATGTATGAAGGAGGCATTCATTGCCATTGCTATTTTACGACAGTAGAACTGGTGCATAACTTTCTCAGGTTTATGCAGCTCTAGTAGTGCCATTGGGTATGAGAGCTATAAAAATGCTGTAAGTTACACGTTAGGGCACAGTAATTTTAGGAATTTATTTCATGTTAGGAAGCTTTTTTAGACTTCCTCTATTTGCTATTAATTGACAGTGTGGTAATACTCTAGATCATTCAGTATGTTTCAACCTGACCTCTTCCCTTCCCAGCAAAGTTGAAATGTGCATTTCACAGGTCCCCCTTTCATTAGAAATCTACAGGTGAAGATAAAAATCTTAACTGAAGATGCGACTCCAAACTCGAAAATGCTTAAGTTTAAAATTTTTCTCCATCATATTAGTTGTAAAATCAACTTAAGAAAATGTGCCCATTGTGGTTACATGAGGGCTCAAAGAATGTGCCTCTAAAATATTGCAATGTTTTTTTATAGCAACCGTGACTACTGTGTAATCCTGTTTGACAGGTTAGAGCTGGAGTGGAGAATGAGAATCAGGCATATCACTATCCGGACAGAAGGTGACTAGCAGCCTCTTTGCACTAAGGGGCTCCAAACACTGAGACTCTGCTGTGTGATGCGACTGTCACTCACTTTGGAATGACATGTCCCAAATTAGTGGAGACATCAGAACTTATGCCTTAGGCCCCTATAATGTTGTTGTTTTGGCTGCTTTATATTCTATATCCTTTATCAAAGTGAAATAAGTATTATATTGAATTAGAAGAAGTCTGTGACAGGAAATCAACACTACTCTTTCACCAGCAACAAAATAAAACACAATAATCATAAAGTCAGTCATTGAATTAAGAGGTAGATGCGTTCTATGTAGGAATACTTTGCAAAACTATCGAATTGAGGATTTCCTCTTTACAAAAAAGATTTAAGGTCAGCATTACATTGACCCTGAAATAATAGAGTTTTGATCCACTAAATATAATTAACTACTTCTGTAACTTAATAAAACAAATAGAATACAGTAACTACTTTATAATTTCTATTTCACTGTACAAAATACATACCAAAAATTATTGCTTAACCCATAATATTTAGTTTATATATCAAAAATTTCTAAAGACAGTAAAAACAAATTCTGGATTATTAATGTTAATATAAAAGTCAATCTCAGATTAGTGCAGTGATTCTCAAAGTACAGCTTTGAATACAGAAGTATCAACATCACCTGGAAGGCTGTTAGAAATGCAATTTCTCAAATCAATTACAGATCATGAATCAAAAATGTACGAATCTAGGGAGTCATAATGCATGCCATAGTTTGAGAACCACTGGATTAATGAAACCCAAAGACAATCTGAAGGTTTGATTCATTCAGTGATTTCGTAATTTTGCCCATGCACAAGTTTGATAACCAAAGTGCTATCTAAAATTCTATTTTTGAAATTTTTCTCATTAGACCTTGAGGTAGATGTAAATAAAGATGAAAGATTGCAAAACTGTTTATTTTTTTTTTTAGATGCTAGATACCACTAAGCCAATTGACATTTCCCTTTTAGTCTGTCAGGTTTCAAAAATGAGCAACATTTATAAAGTTAGTGTTATTGTATACTAGGAGTAAAAAAGGGTATATTATTGTATTAGGGACAGGTCTGTTGATTTGCTTCAAGGCCATAAAATTAGTAGTAGAATAAGACAGAATGTGACTAATGTATTATTGAAATTATTTTCAGAGAGCAAATCTTGGGAGAATTGAGCGAATCCAAGGAGAAAAGTTACAAGTAATCTGGAGATTTTTACCACAGATTCCATTTTCAGATAGATGGTGTCTAATTCTGCAGCAAAAATCTGATAGCCTGTCTCTTCTTCAGAACCCCTTTGCTCTCCCAGCCTGACGCAGGAATCCTGTGAATAAACCTAATACATTGGTTGAGAGTGAGACAGCTCTGAAATATAAAACTAATGATTTCATTTAAGTCACCTGGGAGGGCGGATGCAGTCTTTGTGGCACAGTGAAGTGCGACCTGGTCAGCTAAGTCAGAGCCAGAACACTGTACAATAGCTCAAGCTAAGAGTATGAAATAAAAATTTAGGAAACAACTTGACTACCAGTTGACCTACATCCCCTTTAATGATTTAGATCATTATCAGCACATTTTATTTAACAGGATTCCTTTATGTTCATCCAAAATGGCTCTGAGATCTAGTTACTAAGAATCATGTTTTACAAAAATGTACTTTATAAAGAAAACCCATTAAAAAGAGTAAAAGCTATCTAGATAAAACTGATTTTTAATGCAAACTTAGGAAATTAAACAAGCTTGTTCTATTTTATTTCACACTGTGACCATAGGACTTTTGAAGCATATATAAATACAATTCTAACAGTAAATGACAATGAATGCTTACTGGGTGCCTGATAATTTCCTTAGTACTCTTAAGTTGCATGATTTGAGTCTTAAAGAAAAATATTTGAAGAAATAATTATCATTACATTTCTTAGGTAGGGAAAACTCAAGTTTTGAGAGGTAATGTAACTTTCCTCCACATTAATTGTCACTGTTGCAAGTAGGTCCAGCAAAATCTCATCCCAAAGCATACTCTCTAAACCACTGCTCAGCTACTCTGTTAAGTATTATTTGACTTTCAGGTTCATGATTTTCAGCCACTACCTATCATTCTGTCCTCCCGTTGTTCATCGATTTGCTCAAGTGGGCCCAGTAACGTCTCCATTGTGAGACTTGTTGTTACTGGGCGCTGGAGTCATAGCACAGCGGTATGGTGTTTGCCTTGGACGCTGCTGACCCACCCAAGCGGGTTTGATTCCTCCGCCCCTCTTGGAGAGTCCAGCAAGCTACTGAGAGTATCTCGCCCACACGACAAAGCCTGGCAAGCTATCTATGACATTTTCGATATGCCAAACACAGTAATAACAAGTCTCTTGATAGACGTTTTACTGGGCCCCCTCAAGCAAATATTGATGAACAAAGGGAAGACAGTGTTTACAGTGCTTACCTATCATTCAAAATGAAAATATCTCTATCCACTCTGGCTGGTCAAAAGTGTGTATTCTAACTGACATTTTGTCACCGTCATGACATAGTCCCATAGGTGTCTCCATCACATCAACCTGGTCAGTCATTTTGATTTACTTATTTTAGAAATTAGTTCTACCTCTTCCAAGGAAAGCCCTGAGTAAACAAAGGAAAATATGGATAGGTGTGGAATACCTTTACTTTTGTAGTGATATCTAATTCTCTTGGAAGAATGAACTATTCTTAAACCCTTTGCTAGCTGCTATTTTTTTGTTTTTAATAACTGAATGAGGTAAGAGTTTGGGAGTGTAAATGTTACTCTGATTTAGGGTTGCAATGTTACTGCACCCTTTGTGCCAATAGTCCTTCTTAGTAGGCTTTTCACCCCAGCCTCCTAAGTAGCCTCAGTCTATTGTCAGAATCTAGAGGTGTATTTTTGTTGGATATTGTCTTTCTTGCTAATGTTATTACCTATGAGTGAAATCATTCTGTATTTTATTCCTGATTTATTTTGCTAAGAATGACCCTTCCACTTTCTTCCATGTTGTATCAGAAACTGATATCATCTTTGCCTATGGCTAATATTTCATTATGTGTGACTCACTATATATATCACTGTATCACTGTCATCCAACTGATTGTTGAATTATTGGAGTGGGTGCCAGTAATGTTTCTATTCTTCCCAGCCCTGAGATTTTAGCAGCCTCTTCTTACTCATCTTTTCCTAATTACTGGAGGCTCTTTTAGGGTCAAGGGAATGAGACCTGTTATAGTTATTGTATTTGGCATATTGAATATGCCACAGGGAGCTTGCCAGGCTCTACCTGTGAAGGCAAGATATTCTCGGTAGCTTGCTGGGCTCTCTGAGATTATATATATACATATATATGTATATATATTCATACACATATATGTATATATATCACAATATATATACACACTATATATAGATATACCTATATATCTATATATATATATCAGAATTTCTTCATTCACTCACCAATAGAGAATTTTATCTGGGTACATGAATTGGTAGTTGATAGCGATTGTTTCCTGATAGTGAATAGCATCATAATTAAGATAGGTGGATATATAGATTTTCAAATCTATGAGTTTTTTTAATATATATCTAGAAATAGAATTGCTGGACCATATGATAGTTCTATTTTTAATATTTTGAGAAATCCCATACTGCTTTCCATTGAAACTTAACCAGTTATTCTTAACAGTAATGAATATGATTTGATTTTTCTCCACATCCCTACCATCACTGTTTATTTTTCTGCTCTTTCTGATAAAGGCCTCTCTCACTGGTGTGAGGAATTATCTCATTGTCCTCTTGATTTACATTTTCCTGAAAAATCACTGAGGTCTGTGATTTTCAGTCTCATCCTTAAGGGTTACATTCGAATTAGATCTTCTGGCTCCATGTATTTTCCTGTCCAAGTGCTCCGAACCCATGGGCTTTAGGTTGTCTTTCTGGCTTGGATTTACCCTCATGGAAGCAGAATCTGATTTCTGCAAATTCCCTTTGCGCTTGTTTGTGGTTGTATTATTATTATTATTATTTTTATTATTATTTGGTTTTGTTTTTCTGAAACATATTCACTAGACAGCTGTAAGAACTAGTCGTATTCATGGGTACAGGTATAGTTTCACTAATGAGTATCCTAAGGCTTTGGATAGACTGATCTTGCCAGCTTTATAATGGTCCTAGAAAGACTATATCAAGCCATTCTTCAAATTGACCTACAAACTTGATGTTTCAGCAAAAGAACATATATATCTTTTCCTATGTCTGGAACTATATTCTTACCAGACCCCTCATTTAGTTCCTATATCTCGTCTCAGAAAAGTGGCTATGTTTCAGCTCATTAAAAAACAAAAGACTATCTTGAGCAAATTCAAACATGGCCCTGTTTTTATACTAGTCCTCTGAATTTCTCATTTAATTTCACAACGGTTCCTGAGGCAGGTAAACTATTATGACAGAATTTACACTATAAAAGTGATTTTTTCAATAGAAATAAAACTTGACAAAAATATGATTTAATCACATTATTTCAAAAGAAAGTGTAACAACATTTTTAGAATAAAGTTGAATTTTCATTTACTAACTTACTGTTCAGACTGTTCTATTCCTACTGATATACTTATTCATCCATCTATTTCTTCACATACCTGTGTTTAAATGTTGTATATCTAAATAGGCAAAAGCTGAAAGGTTTAAGCTTCACTAGGATGGAAGAAAGGAAAGGGTATCTCACTTGATTCAGAAAATGGTGCTTCATATGTGTGACTATAAAATTGAGGTTCACTTTATTGGATGAAATGTGAGATTTGTTGTGACTGGTTAAAAATAAAACTAGAAGTTATAATTATAAGTTATAATATAAGTAATATTTATATTATAAGTTATAATATAAATATAAAAGTTATAATATAAATATAAGTTATAATCTCTAGTGCAATTAGATACAAAATTTGATAATATATTGGTGATATTACCTTAGATGATAGAAATAATGAAGTTAAGGTGATAGAAGGCTAAGTTTAATTTTTAAAATACTGAATTTGAGGGTTCTATATTGAATACAGAAATAGTTATCAAAGGCACAATTGAACTTAAGGACAAGAAACCATATATTTTACTTATATTTGTAATCCTAATTATTGAACAAATAAATTATAAATACCATAGGTATATAATTTGTCACTTCATGCTGAGTTTATCTTCCTTCATATTTCTTGTTCTTAAAGAAAACTTAATAGACTCAGAATAAAATAGTACATTTTTATTCTTTCTTCAGGTCAAGAAGTTGAATAAATTTACTAAAATCTCTCTTAGTGTTATAGTGATGATTAAAATCAATATAATTTTAATATTTTAAGAGGTAACATCATCAGGGAAAATCTTAACTATTCTATTGTCAGTCGAGGCTATTTTTTGTTCTGCTAATTAGCAATCCTTCATCCTTAATACTAATGTTGAACTTCCTGGGGCCAACTAGTAATAAAACACATGCAGTATAGATTTATGTTTTTTTTTTTAAATCCAGTAACATAACATTGTCAAAAGTGTAGGGCTGGAGCAATAGTATAGCAGGTAGGGCATTTGCCTTACACGTGGCCAACCCCGGTTCAATTCCCAGCATCCCATATGGTCCCTTGAGCACTGCCAGGAGTGATTCCTGAGTGCAAAGCCAGGAGTAACCCCTGTACATTGCTGGGTGTGACCCAAAAGCTAAAAAAGAAAAAAAAAACTGTAAATTAATATAAAAGGGATGGAAGGAAACATACTGAATTAACTGTACATGGCATATTAAGTGTCTTAGGATATTGATTTGTGATGGCCAGTTATCATATAGAACAGAATTAGACTGTTTTCTATATTAAATCCAATATATATATATTCATAACCAAACAATAACCATACATGGAAATTTATGAATCCCCAAGTATAAAGCAGTCTATTAGATGAAAAATAATGCAAATATTATGGAACTATCTAAGCAACATAGTATACAATAAAACATATCAATTTGTAGATTATTTTGCGGTATAAAAACTGGGAGTTTGTCTTGGTTACAGGTTTTCCCTTTCTGTCTGTTAGTAGAATAGCACTGTAGCACTATCCTCCCATTGTTCATTGATTTGTTTGAGTGGGCACCAGTAACGTCTCACAACAAATTGTAACAGTTTTTGGCATATTGAATGCATCACGGGTAGCTTGCCAGGCTTTGCCGTGCAGGCAAGAAACTCTTGGTAGCTTACTGGGCTCTCCGAGAGGGTTTGAGGAATCGAACCCGGGTCGACCATGTTGGCCGCATGCAAGGCAGATGCCTTACCCGCTGTACTACTGTCGTTATATGGTAGATTATC